ATCTCTGATGCTGCAATTAGCGTTTCATATCAAGTGCTGTCATTTGGAACAGCCTCAAAGCCACCAAGGTCTAAATAATACAAAGCCTTGTTCAGGGTGAATGCTGAATGCAAAGACAACAGACAGAGTAGACTCCACGTATTCCAGTGGTTCCTGCAGATCTGACAGAGTAGAAAAGAACATATGTTGCAAGTCAGAACCCCAGAAATATAGCAGGAATGTTCTCTTTTTGAGAAAACATGACAAACTTGTTTGGCAAAAGTGCTGATGCAAATCTACACCCAAGCCTACAGAAAGATTCAAAAAAATGCATAAGAAAATTGATTTTTCTTTGCATTAAAGTGAAAACACATTCTTCCATATAGAAATAAAGAAAAAAAGCAATTGGATGTTAAATTATTAATCAAGACATAGACTTTCATAAAACAAATAGGATTTTCCAAGTAGGCATTCGTCACTTCTGCATTGCTGGCATCGTTCAAAACTTCGTCACTGTACTGCTAGAGCCTTGATTTACAACCTTTGTGTCTGAGAAAACAAATGCTTGTCTGGTAGTCAAGAGTGAAGAAATTTTTAAGAGAAATTTCTTTGATCAGGATTTATTCTCAAAAGTTGACATGTCCACACCCAACCCTGTTCTGCTTTAATCTCTGCATCTTGTGCGGTTGACACTGCACATGGTTTCCCCAGCCTAGATTTGAAGTTAATATCTGTAAATCTACATATCCTATTGTCAAAATTGAGATCCTTCAATATTTGCTCTGTTCTCACAGCTCTGAGAGCTTCATTTTTAGCTCATGACTGCTCCTGCTTGTTTGCCTTTGTGCATGCGCTCTAATCTCATTTCAGTTTTTCAGGCCAGCAAAAGGGAGAATTTGAGCAATGAGAGCAACGAGAGCAATGCAACACGACCACAGCTGACCACAGTGACGTAAGCTGGACTAAAGCTTCATGCACATGCTCTCGCTCACTCACCTATAACCACTTTTCCACGGGGAGATTTGCCATCAATGGCTCCTCAGTGTGAATATGAGAGCAAGAGATGCAGCGACTATCCTCTTCGTGCCAGTTGCAGCTGCATCTCCTCGTATTTAAGAGTCAGACTATCGGTTCTAGTTTCCACCCTCCTCACTAATTTCTTAAAATAAGTTCAGGCATGACACAAGATTTACTGCTTTCATTTATTAAACCTTTAGTATGAAAAAATAGGTTACCACAAAAAGTAATTTATTCAATGATTATATTACAAGTGATATTTCATTGCAACTTCAGGCTTTGAAATACTTCAAAAGCATGCTTCGTGCAACATCAAATGTGTCGAGAAACAGCACACAGACAAAACCCAAATAATCTGTGTTAAATTTACTTATTTCCAGGATGTTATTTCAAAATAGGATTTTACTGTATTTTAACTTTATTTTTTTATCAGCAGGACTAGAGGTTCCAGTTTGATGATTACAGTGAATATTTTTCCTTTTTTGTTTCATTCAAAAACACTTTGGCCCATTACACCTGACATGGTGTTCTGGATATCTAACTACATAATGACCTGGTTGCTATGCCTCTACTGCGCTGACCTGCTGACAGCTTCAATTAAACTGCTTGTATCATTTTTAGCAAAGCTCCAGTTGCCAACCCCCAACTGTCCTTTTACCAGCAATCAAATAAGAGCTTGGTTGACAGCCTGTGCAGGAACGCTGAACAAAAAATTATTATTTTTTTTCTCCATAATTTTTAAGAGATATTTCTTCATTGTTCTGTTTATCTCTGTCTTAAAATCAACTCACCTATGCAAACTGCATCTAGGGCTTCTCATATGTAAATATGAACACCAATCAACTCGCAAAAAGATGATCTCTTGATGGTCAAGGGATGATGTGTACTTGTCAGTAAAAAAAAAAAAAAAAATGCACATCCGCCTCAACAGCAGTGACACGTGTAGGCAGCACAGTTCAGCTGATTTGTGCAGTTCAGTGGACTTTTTGTTTTGCACCAAGACTTTCCTGCTAAGTGGCAACACAAAACACATCACACTCACAGACTGAGACAAACAAAAACAAAGGAAAAAATACGTAAATGGCAAGTTTTCATCGGAAAACATCCAAGGATTAACATCATCACTAACAGCAAATTCTGCACACTTAATATAACCTTAACTCTCTTGAATGTAATGACCAGAATGTTTTCTGACAGCACAGTTTAGAAAGCATAGAGAAGTGGAGATGTATCTGCTCTCTTGTGCAGTCACAGGGTCAAATTATTGTAATCACTTCAAGAGAGGAGTGGAATAAAACAGTGAGGGTAGGGGAGGTGAAGGAAAGAGGATTTTTTTTTTGTCATTTTTCCCAGTAGCTTGTGAACCATATGTTCAGCCTTGGGACACAAAAAACCACATAAGGGTTCACCAAAAGCTCATAGATACACCAGCACACTGACACATGGGACTCATGATGCAGATTCTGTGTGTATGTGTGCATGGGAGAGAATCTGCAATTAAACTGTTAACATCTATCTGTTCAGCTTCAAATTGCTTCTACGATAATATCATTTATGTTAGACGTGCTAACAACCTCAATTTTTAGAGCTTGCAACTGTTGGTTTTGCTTGTGCATTTTCAAATAATTAATATTGAATGACACTGCTAAAGGGGTAAAAATGTGAAATTGGACATTTGATTCTATCTGTTTATTCTTGCCTGTAAGGGGAACAATTTTACAAACTTTCTCAAACAAATTTAAATTACTGCTTTTTTTCCAGCAAGTATTGATTCTAACATCTTGGCTGAGTTGGTAACTAGTAAACTATTAATGAGTGCACAAAATCAAACTCGAGCTAAGAAAATTAAAACTTGTGTTAGTCCCCTTATCTTACTCTCTGACAAAAGGATATTTTCCTTCATTGTCAATACATTCTGTAACTGCCAAAAAGATACACAGTTTTCCATTTCTGCTGCCTCTTTTAGAATTAAAACTATTCTAAACACATTCAGAAACTTCCAAGCTGAAGTTTAAAAAAACACACAGAGAGCACTGAAGCACAGGAACAATCCCCTGAGATGTCTGTAAAAAAAGACAGAAAGAAAGAAGTAGATGGCAAAGAATGCGCAGGAAGAGAGAAAGAGGGAGAGTTTGCCTCCAGTCTCAGAACAGAGGAGGATCAAAGGTTTGTGCTCTGCATCTCAATGGACATCCGGTCACCAATACTGATGAGCCTGGGCGTGTGATGCTACATTCACAGGGTTTATATCTTATGGGAAAACAAGTGGTCATTGTCTGCAAATAAATAGACATCTTAACTCAAGAGTTGTACCTCTCAGTACCCAAATTTAAGCATTTAATAGCCACAAAAATAAAGAATATTATGTATTTTGCCATTTTTGGTGTGAAGTTGATTTATTAGTGTCACCATTGACAATTTTATGAGCTAATTAATTGCGTTTTCTTATTAATAAAATAAATGGCTTTTATACCTTTCAAAACCATCCAAGTATTTCATTTCTGGAATTTTGAAAAAATGTCAAATAAAAAAAAAGTGACAATCATATCTGGTCTTACCCTGAAATAACCTGCTTTCTGTGTAGCATGTGCACACCAAGGTTTTTTGATTATGCAATGCCTTTACCAAAGTCACACTAAAATGTGTTTATTTAGCATTTTAGAAGTGGAACTTCATACGTTGTGCTCATATCCTTGCCAGCTTCTGCACAATGTGGTCTGAACCACCATAGATTTTAAGCTCCTACAGTAGCAGAGGGAGATTATAAAGTACAATATGCAGCATGAAATGACCGCTAACTGGAAAGGCAATTTACCAAACAAGCCACTGCTAAAATAACATGACTTCAAAATGCAAATTAACTGTGTAAACCAAGCATACAGATTTTCACCAGCTACAGGAGCAAACTGTATATTTTGTAGCAATAATGACAGGAGACTTAATCAATACCAAACAGCTTATGCTATGTTTTAATTTAAATGAGACCACCACATTTTTACCCTGCATTTGTTCTTGAGGTTAGTTAAAGCAGCTGAAGATGGAATTAGGTTCTTGTTTCTCTCAGAGTTAAAAAAAAATGGTAAATTTTCCAAAAGCCTTGGCTGCTGTTGCATGAGTTTAGTATTATTTTAACAAGCTGGAGGAAAGACTGACACATTTATTTATGTAACTGCTGTGTTCTGTATTTCAACCTTGAGTCCATTAACACTGCTTGGTTAAAACTGCACACCAGCTGCACTAATGATCAAAGGATTTGTCCCAGATTATGGACAGCCATTAGTATAATACTCTTTGTGTATGATCTAATGTAGATGTAACTTTAGAAAGGTGGCTGTGTTGCACAGTGTTAGTCAGGAACACATCCTGGAAACACTTGAATCTGTTTCACAAAGACTTGTTTTTCAGGGTTATAAATCTTTTATCTACGAGATCAACTCAAAAGCAAGGCAGAATGTCAACATAGCTGTGCTTTTTGGTTGAAAACAAATGCATAGGGTCTATTTACTCTGCTCTGTTATTTATTATGTAATCCCTGCTTATAAGGTGACATAAAAAGAACAAAAAGATTTAGTTTGTAACTAAGTACCTGAATCTGCAAACATGTAATAGTGTTACAAATACTGTAAATCACTGGCGGAAATAGATGGGAAATAAATTTAACGAAAAAAATAAAAAAAATATAAATACAATAAAAGTAATCAATGGCTCTTCACTGCAGTGCTTCAAGATCTATTCGCATTGGAATATTTATGGTCTACATTAATTTTATAATCCACCTAAAGAATTTCATAGTAAAGATTTTAGCATTACCTCTCATTTGTGAGTGTTTGTCCATCACAGATGGTTGTAAAATCCTCAGATGAGATGCCTGTGACCTCCAATGGGATTCTGTCCCTTTCACTTGAGAGCCTATTAATTGTCTGCAATTATCCTTTGCAAGCATGGCATCTGTCAGAGGTATCTCTCCTCTTCCCACATGGATAAAAATGCCACAGTGATAAAGGTTGACTGCGACATTCACTATTTATTGCACAGTAGAGCTTGTACAGTTAAAGTTTGCCATGACAGGTCTTAAAAAAAACATGTATGCCTTATGGAGTCCTTCCTGATTTCCATGTTTTTAGTGACAAATATTTAACTTGTGCTGAAATTACATATTTCATACAGCAAATAACGGAGACAACGCCTTGAAATCCTTTCATTCATGGACAGATCATTTCAAATTTAGCGTCTTTTATGTGTGACAAACGTCTGGTTTTGTATCAACACTTCCCTTAGTGCATTCAGACACCTCCAAAATTTAGTGCAAATTTCATGGAACAAAAACACATAAGAAATTAAACAAACTGAGGAACTTATAAGGCAACAATATAAATATATCAAAAATAGTTAATAGAGAACTATCTTTGTTACAAAAATGGTACAAATGCTTTGTCTTGCACTAGAGAGAAGGACAGATTTTTCAGTTCTTCTACTGATTTCACAGCCTTATATCCCAGCTGCTTCAGTACTTTATGACACATGGTTTGTGTGAATTCTACAATATCATAGGACAGTTTCAAACGCCAACTCTCTGCATTAGCAGCTGAGTCCCTCACTGTTCCAAACTTGTGTTTTGCCGAAGGTTCATTGCTTCCTCGAGTATTTGCACGTATCCAGTGTTTCACATTTTTATCCATATGTAGCCCAAGAAAGTCATAGATCTCCTGAGTCTTTAGAAGTGGATTTCGGGCCAAATCCTCATATCGAACCAACATGTACTTCCCTTTCAGCCAGTAGGGGTGACTAAGACCAGTTGAAACTGAACCAAAGAAGTCCTCACAGATCACTGTGAGCTGATTCATGTCTAGATTATACGGTCTTCTCCCTGTGGCCCTCCAAATGCGCCACAATCGGTATGGGTCCCTGAATGTCTCAATCCGGGATGACAGGATACCACGTGGGTCTCTCACAAGTTGAATGACTTTTATGTTCAGCCGCGGATCTTCAACCAGAGCCCGCAGATCTCCGATTTCAGGAACCCGGACTACTTTGATGGCCACGTGCTTCTTCTCCTGACAAGCCTCTGTTGCTAAAGTCATGTTTAAGGTTGAGCATTTCTTCACACAGTCTCCTTCTTCCACATTAACGTCCCCTGGACCAAAGGCATCACAGACAGGTTGCTGGCACAATGCCCGGCTGGCACCTCGACGGAACAGTTTGTCCGTGGTGTGGTTTGTGGGTGTCGGTTTTATATAATTCTCTAGGAAATAAAGATCACAACCATACAGGCTGCGCAAGAGGTCTCGACTGGCACCTAGCGTCACGCGGCGATCTGTAGGGTTACGGGTGTGTGACTGACGTGGGACCAATGTGGCATAAACGTGATAAAGAGGCTCAAACAGGTAGAATATCTCCTGGTGCTGGTTCAGCAGCTGGCCAACAAAGGAGGAGCCACTGCGAGTGGTGGCTAAGACCAGTATATGAAGTTTACGAGTGGCGTTGATGGAAAAGTAAGGGTAGTCATCACAGCCTACCCCACCTGCTGGTCCCCGCTCAAAGGAAGGATCTGTCTCCTGAGCCCCGAGACCACAGTTCTGGGGGCTGGGCAGTGGGCACAGCTGGAAAGGCTTAGAGGTGAGCGTCCGGATGGCTGTGTACTGGATGGCAATCGAAGCCAAGGCCAGCAGAATCACTGACTTCCAGGAACATTGCATGGCTGAACCACTTCATCTAGCCAGAGATGCCTATGCCAGGTCCTCTCTGTGAACAAACAAGATTTTGTCTTTATTACAAGAAACAGATACACCTCTTAGGTTATTTAATAAAAATATCTAGAATTATTTTTGCTAAAATAAAACAAAACCTACATTTGAATCAAATGCTGTACAAGCACCACAGGACTGAGAAATAGAGAAAGAGACTATATTACAAGACTATTTCATTTGAATTTCTAGTGATCTCAAAGACATGAATTGCATTGTGACCATTTTTAGAACGGACTGTGAATCATCCGTGGTTTCAGTGCCGCTTGCATTGTATTTAGTTATGATTCCACCACAAAATCTTCCTATTGATTTTTGTAGGCTACTTATGCGGAAATGAGTTTAAATATGATTTATATACCGAACAAGAAAAGAGCAAAAGCAGATCTGAATTTAAAAAATGCTGCAGCCACAGGACAGAATAACTTGTCTTAATCATTCAATTTACTTCCCATTTCTCCTGCCAGCTCTGCAGTCTAATTTCTGGAAATTAAAATAGATAAAGAAGTTCTAAGACCCTGCTTTTGGTTACTTTCCAGTCAACTGACACTGCCTGCCAAAACATGTGCAGCAGTATCAGAGCCAAGATAACAGCGTGGCACATACAGTATTAAAATACAGTATGACACATTTTGGTTTGAAATTGCTCCACCAATCATGTTATGTACACTTTCCTTTCCCTTATGCATTGAGAAATGTTACAAGTTAACGCTATAATTATTAGACGTAGTATACTAGAATAAATCTTGCATCACTTCTTACTATGCATCGAGGCTTGTTCTTTGTCTGTTTAATCATGTCCGCATCTAATTTGGCTTGACAGGACAGACAAATCATTGAGCTCTAAGCCACTTCACATTAGAAGAAAAAGTGCCCAGAAAGGTAAACAATGTAGTTTCAAGCTTCACTGCCAATGTCATGTCAAGGGGAAGTAGTCCTGTAAGTAAGAAATTAGATAATAAATGATGAGTTCTGTCTGGATTCATAGTGAACTTTAATTGAGTGAATAAAATCACCACTTCAGCAGCTATATGAACATGGAATAAAGTAAAAAAATTGTGGATTTGTCTGCATAATATAGAAAAAAAGCTATTTCAAAGTAACATGAGAGTCTAAAAATAAAATTCCAGATTTGTTACATAATAACTAATACAGCTGATTTCACTCAGTCTGGGTTGAGTGACTTAGGATGCGTTTTTAAAGCAGGGACGGGGATGTTTTGCTCAATATCTACTCTCACAATGCAAACAGCATAAACAGAGAACATCTGTGCTTTCTCCTCAATGACATTTTGTAGAAAAAAAGGCCCATTTCACTGCAGCGGGGACAGGTTAGAGGCTGTCAAAGATTTTTCCGTGATGCAGGCATCCTAACCAATGCAGCGATAAGACAATATACAGCACACATGAACGCATCACAGTCACACGCTTCGAAATTTTCTGTGCAGAATAAATTCGAGGAAGCACGAATTCGGCTATTTAAAAATATAAAATCTATAGGTTGTATTTTAGTAGAGTTTTGTTATACCTTGTTGTCGGTGGCTGTGTCCTCATGATGCGCGGTGCGATGCGTCCATGAATCACGGCTGGCTGTGTTTTAGTCCTCCAACGTCTCCCTGCCTCCCGCCCCCTCCCGTGCGCTGTTTCCCAGTTAGGAGAAGATAAACGCGGCTGGCAACCCCCTGTATTCCATCTAACGCGCGGGGGGCGAGGCGTTCGCGTTCAGTGGATGGTGTCGGACACACAGAATAAAACAGGAGAGAAAAGGTGATGGAGTAACGCAGGGGCGGAAGTGTTATTATTAACCAGCCAGGCGGTGAAAGTGGCCGAGGAAAGCAGGCGGCCAAACTCCCCCTTCAATGATGCGCAGAGGCAGAGAGTGAGGTAGGGTACACAAGGACCGACTGTCTGGACCACCCCCGACCCCTCCCCCTATCCACCTGCCTCTCTCCCTCTCTCTCTCTTTCTCTCTCTGTGAAGCACACAGTAACACAGAGACACTATCATCACTACTATCCACGCACGCAAATCAGCTGCTGTCATTCAGCCAAAGTAGCAGCGTGTTCACAGTGATTCCATTTAATTTGATTGTGCAAATGTTTGATTTGCATGAGGCAATTTTGCACAGGGTGGCTCCAGCATTTTATGTGGGTTCATTTAGCTTTAGCTCACTTATCTTTTGGGAGTGTAGTTGTTTGGTTAGATCACAGGCACCTGATCTAACCAACCTGGGAAAATCTTAACTTGGTTTAAAGAAAAAAAAATAAAATTAGGAAGAGAATGGAACTAACTTGTCAAATCAGCATTATCACTTCTGCAAAGCCCTGTCTTCTGGGTTACACAACCTATAATAAAAGAGTGGGTGGCCAGCTAATAAATGATACTAGAATTAACTGTCTGATCTTCAGACAATGTAGAATTGAAAGAAACAGCAAAGAAAAGCAAATGAGGTGGTTAATGCAATGAGTGCTAACATATTCCATTAACCAGTAAGTTGATGCAATAACTTATTGGTTTCCTAACTCTTCCCTCCAAGATAAAAGAGAACAAGCCTCATCCTGCATTTCAAAAGATTACCATTAGGCCATACCAGGGATGCCCGTAGAATGTAGACGATGCCTCAAGTTTCAGACCGAGTCACACTTAAGTCACAAAACCAGACTTCAAATCTGATTTGAGTTGAATGGAATATTCCCTCTGAGCAATAGACCTAAATTCAACATTATAGCAAGATCTTACTTAGACACGAGCCAATGTTAATTCTACTATATGTAGTCCTGATTTAGAGTTCATAATGATAGGCATAATGTTTATCCCGAACCAAACATCTAGGTCTAAAAGTGGCTTATGCTTTTTATTGGAAAATAAAATCGACAAGGTCCTTAAACTGTCCATCATGAACAACTGACAAAACACACGAACAGAGGTTAAAGTCAACATTTGGTAGGTTTGGATCAATTTGATTTTTTATTGCAGAAGCAATATCAATGTGTTGAAAGACATTCTGTATCCTTGTGGTTCAAATCACTCTTTTAGATGAAAGTTTATTTTCCATTTAATGTGAATTTCAAGGTTGAAGAGTGCGGAGAAGGAGTGGAAGAAACACTAAATCCAATTTGCTTGAGGTCGAGTGTGAAGTTTCCGCACTCAGCAGTGATTTGGGAAGCCATGTCATCAGCTGGTGTGGGTCCACTGTGTTGTATCGAGTCTAAAATCTGTGCAGCTTTCTATCAGGACATGTGTGCTTCTCTCTGCTTTATGGAGATGCTAATTTAGCTTGGCACCTTCCCTCAGTTACAATACTTATCACTACCTGGCCAGTGAACTTGCTGGATTTATGCCCCACAGAAAATCTATAGGCTATTGTCAAGAAGAAGACCAGAGACAGCAGGACATCCATGCCTTTCGATGATCAGACAGAAATAAATGCAAAAGTAGCCCTGACCATCAGTGTATTCAGTCCATGGAGATACTTTTCAGTAGGCTGTGTGAAAGGTTGCAATGCAAACCAAACATTTGTTCCCCTGCTGCTGGCAGTTGTCCCTGGATAATGCAGATGCATACTGTTCTCTAGTAGAGATCACATGGACTATCAAAGGCAATCATCTGCTTCAGCAGGTCTTTGATTGTATCTCTCTGTGCACATGTTTATGGTCACATTTATTTACTCGCAGAGCTTCTCAGCTATTGTCTCAACTTTACAGATGAAAGGGCTCTGGATGTGCTTATAGCTGTGCCACGGGGAGGCCAGCAAAGCAGCAGCTATACAGCCTTGATTCCATGGCTGTCTTCAGAGTGTTCATGTCAATACATCCCAGCTTGTGGAAGCCTTGTCAAGGGACGCTCTCCCACATTGAAGCCAGGCATCTGCTGCAGCGTGATAGCCTTTCAGCACATTATCACATAAGGCTATTCTTCCTGCGCATGCTGTAAAGGGATTTGTAGTAGATTCATAACGTGCCAGGCTAAATAATGTGTGTTGGGGTTGAAGGGGTATTCTGCTTTGTTCTCCTCTCAATCGTCTTTATTCCAGCATTCACATGGCGACAGAAGCTGGGTTTTGTGTCTGGCGTTTTTCATTCACTACTTGGAACTCGGTGTGAAAAAAAAAAAAAAAAAAACGATTCCAAAGGATTGCACTGTTCTTATTAGCAAAATGAGGGAGGCAGATCAAAGAGCATCTTCAAGTATTGGTGTAAAATCTGACAATTTCTATACAGTCTTACATATCATGGTGTAAAGTTTGATTCCTCAACTGTGCTAACATATTCTACCACCTTTAATCATTCAATTACATTTTAAATCCATACCAAGCAAGAACTGGTTTAAAGAATATTACATATGGGCATAATGATCAACTCAGACACATTCTTATGAGGGGAAAGCAACTGGAATACCTTTGTACTTTTCTTTGTACTATTCTTTAAACATTACTTCAGTTCATTCAATTTCAAAGAAATTTGTTTAAGCCCAACTCAATGTCAAGATCTCAGCACTGTGTTGCACTCAAACCAAAGTGTGCAGCATCCTGATTTATTCATATTTCAAAACTGCTGCAGGTTTTCTGATTCGTTTGGGACCTTTGTCCTGTGAAATGATTTTGTATTGTATTTGTAGTTTGTATTTATATACTTTGGATTTCACAAAATATGATGCTGTGCCTTATAGCTACACATCTCCACTTTGGTGTCAGAGGAACATTGTTCTAGTAGTTTTGTGGTTCAAGTGGATGAGAGTGCAACCATATTTTAGTTTTTCTAAGAGACTCTCTCCTGACAACTTTACAAAAAGATTTATGTCTGGTCTTTTTGATATAGCTAATGAACGCTAACATGAACCACAAAAACTAAGACCCGAGGTGAGTGGTATGGACTTTTTGAGGTTTGACTATGATTTTTGCCTGTATAATTGCCTCTGTCCATTGTCATATTTTAAAGGTGTATAATCTTTGTTTGATCTGCAACTGATGAGCTTACATTGTTTGAAAATTGCCTTTTATAACTTTCATACTGACAGGTGGCACAGATTGCTGAATATGTTGTTGCCCTTGGAATTATGTTAATTCTCTCCTACATTCTTAAAACTGGCAAATTGACAAAAAAAAATAAAAAAAAATAACTGCTTTCATAAAGGTCATCATATATGCTAATGATTAATTTATCTGGTGCAATGTACCAGTAAGGCCTGACTGCTACCTTTTCTGTTAAATATAATGGAAGTAGTCTAAATTAATTACTTTTGATTCTGGCAAACAAAATAAGTTAAATAGATAGGTTTATCCCCATTTCAGATGATTAAGTCTGATTACTTATAACAGCTTTTTAACTCTAAAACTGCCTCATGGAATATTTTTATCACATGTACATTTTACATGGAAATGAAATCTGTTTTCTCTTCATGACTTACCCTGAAATTGTTTGAGATTTAATTATGAACTCCTCAAGATAACATTTCTGACACATCAATCTAGGATAATAGGCTTCATTAAAAAGAGCCATGACAAATACTGGCAAAATGCACATGTTATTTGACTCACACTTTTATGCAAATATAGGTTGGATCAAATAGATGCTAATTTACACAAAAGAAGAACTAAAATAATGCAACTTTTTCACAGCACTCCATAACCAAAGCATGCAACAAATAAATTAAGAAAATAGTCTGCTGAAATAGATGAACCTTGTAAAAAATCAATATTTGGCCAGAGCAGGATTTAGAAAGCCATGAAAAAATCCTGGAGAATTCTACTCCAGCAAAGCTACAACTTGAAGATGGATTTTTCTGGGGTCATGAGACATTGTGCCACACTATGCATAGATCTTGTATCATGGAGATGAATACTTCTTTCACCAGCATGATTTATTTAGCTTGACTCAGAACTGTCCTAATATGCCAATTGTAAGAAAGAATAAAAGAGCACAATCCACCCCAAATAAAAGCAAAAATAAAAACATGTCAATGTGTGGCATATGGGCAGTTTTCTAAGTGTGCAATATCTGGACAACTGAATATTTGATTGGTTGCGTGTGCTTGCTTGTTATTGCCTCTCTTGCATATTGTAGGGTATTTTAAACTGTACATATAAAGAACCAAATAGAGAATATTATCACTTCAGCCTTTTTAAAGAGGGTGAGTTACAGCAGTGCCTCAGAAAACTCAAACTTGTCCCCCGGCAGCAGCCTGGTTTTATTCAAAGCAGAGTGGGGGTCGGTCATAAAACAGTAACTTAAAGATGATGAGTAGAGCAGTCCCTCTGAACTAGCTGACACTAGTTTCTCCAAGAACAGGATGGTCTAAGACTAAAAACTTATTCATGAGAAAACTATTTGTAAAGCCCTGACAAAGAAAATTCTCTCAATCAGGTGTTCTTCATAACATGGGCTAAATTGGTCAAATAAATATATACAGTAGCCAGGGTTATTCTGTTGTACATTATGGGTGATTGATTTGTGCCAATTCTATAGGATTAAGAATATATGTTTAATTGTGGAGGGGTTTTTTTTGTTCTTGAATGCGGTATACTTTTGATATGTGCTTTGGAAAATAAAAATCAATAAAAAGAAAGCCTGATTTATTGTGGATTATTGTGCACACAAGCATACACAACATAAGAGTAAAGAAATGTGCTAAAGGCAAATTAATAGTCGACTCTAAAATGTAATGTGTCTTTTACAAGTAGCCTGTTAATTCAGATTTTGACCATGAGAAGTACACAGTTGAACATTTCCTGATGATGTCACGCCACAAATCTGTTTTCTCAGGCTCCCAAAAATAAATTCAATTCTCCTTCAACAAAGCTTTTTCTTTGTATTATGCCCTTGTCTCCAGAAGAAAAAAAAAAAAAAAAAAAACTGTTTTCAGTCATGGTGGAAAAGAATGCTATA